GGGTGGGGTGGCATGGTTCCTGTTGCCATCCAGTAGGCATGTGGAAGTGTTTATCCCTAGCTGATTCTTCCCTGCTGGATGGGAGTGGCCACTGCTGTATCCCTACAAGGGCAGAGCTGTCCTGGGCTCAGTCTCATCTGTGTGGGGAGCCCTGTGAGACTGTGGGAGTGCTTTCCCAGGAGGCTGGAGAGGCCCACAGCATGTCTGTTTTACAGAGGAGGGAAACTTGAGGAAGCTTGCCAACGTGACTCGAGAGTTTCAGTAGCAGGGCTTGGGGTGGAAGCTCCCAGAGCCCTGGGTTAGGTACCCAAGCCCTTATTTTTTGGCAGGCTCCCGCCACTGCCCTTCACTGTGGGCTGGCACCAATGGAGGTACCATCTATGCCTTTTCCCTGCGTGTGCCTCCTGCAGAGCGGAGAATGGATGAGCCAGTTCGGGCTGAGCAGGGTGAGTGGTGAATGGGGAAAACCCAGGGGGCCTGACCAACTTGGGTTGGTGGGTGTGGTGTCACCAAGCCACCCGTCTTAGCCCTGTCCCCAAACTGCTGCTTCCCCAACCTGCCTCCTTTGTAGCCAAGGAGATCCAGCTGATGCATCGTGCGCCTGTGGTGGGCATCCTGGTGCTTGACGGACACAGTGTGCCCCTTCCCGAGCCCCTGGAAGTGGCCCATGACCTGTCCAAGAGCCCGGACATGCAAGGCAGCCACCAGTTGCTTGTGGTGTCAGAGGAACAATTCAAGGTGCCACATGGAAGGGTCCCCTGGATGCCCCTAGGACATAAGTGCAGTTCAGCCCCTGAACACAAATAGTGATAGTGGACCAAGGTTCTCATTTGGAGTTGGAGTATGTTCTTCAGGGTCACAGGAAAGAAGGGGGGCAAGAGGGGGTGGTCTTGTGTGTGTCAGCCTTAGACCTAAAGGGTCACCCTAGAACAGGACCTGAGTCTGTGGGAGGCGCAGAATGCCCAAACTAGATGTCAGGGGGCCTTGCATCTTCCTGGCCCAAGATCTGCATCTGAGAGCTGAGGGGCATTAAGACCCAGATGAGCTTGTTGTCCACCGTGAGGTGTCTGCTAAAGGACAAGGTCCCAATGGTCGTATGGATGGGAGAACCACAGTCCGGCGGCTATGGTGTGACTCATGCCCCTCTGCCATGTGTGCCCAGGTATTCACACTGCCCAAGGTGAGTGCCAAGATGAAGCTGAAGCTGACGGCCCTGGAGGGCTCACGGGTACGAAGAGTGGGTGTGGCTCACTTTGGCAGCTGCAGGGCTGAGGACTACGGTGAGCACCACCTAGCGGTGCTCACCAACTCGGGCGACATCCAGGTGGTTTCCATGCCCCTGCTCAAGCCCCAGGCACGATACAGCTGCATCCGGAAGGAGGACGTCAGTGGCATTGCCTCCTGTGTCTTCACCAAATACGGCCAAGGTGTGCAGGCCTGGGCTGGGGCCTCGGTGAGAGGGTCTCAGGCACTGTCGGGGGAGAGAGGCAGGAGCAGCTCAGATATGGGGCTCTGCCTGCCCTGAGTGAAGAACATCAAGGAAGGAGGCTCTGTCCCCATCCCCCTGGGAGGGAGGCCCTGCCACAGCCACAGGACCCAGGAGCCCTGGGCTGGCTTTACTCAAGGCTTCTCTGCCTCTCCTCAGGTTTCTACCTGATATCACCCTCAGAGTTTGAGCGCTTTTCTCTCTCCACCAAGTGGCTGGTTGAGCCCCGGTGTTTGGTGGATTCAACCAACACCAAGAACCACAGCCGACCCAGTAACGGCAACAGCACGGGCCCCAAAAGGACCTCGGGCCAAGTCAGGTGAGGATGCGGGCCCAGAGGCCTTTCCACGGCCTTGCTCTTTCTGTGGCATCTGCTGACTGGCCAGCTGCCAGTGCAGACCCCTCCCCTGCTCAGACCTGGTCAAGCAGGTTGGCCTCACCCATTCATCACGGGAGCAGGATTTTCAGAGCCTAGTGGTCCCCAGCCCTCACTGTCTGCCCCTCCACAGGAGCTCAAGAAGCCAACGTGATGGGGAAGGTAAGACAGGCCTCTGGCTGCTACGTGGGCACATCTGGGACACAGCTGGCTAGAATGGAGTAAAGGGAGTCGGGGGCTGAGGGTGAGCGAGAGGGAAGTGTTTAGACCGGGAGCGGAAGGAACGGTTTCCTGCATCCGGGGTCTCAGCACTCACTCCCTTAACCCCTGTAATAAGAGGGCTGGGCAGAGGGCCCAGGACAGGCCCACCTGACCACTCTGCCTTCCAGAGAAGAAGCCTGGCCCCGTGATGGAGCACGCTCTGCTCAATGACGAGTGTGAGTCGGTGTGGGGGTTGGTGAGGCTCACGTGACAGAGGGGAAGCGTGTCTTGGGGTACAGGGCAAGCTTGGAAGGCCAGAGGAAGCCAGGCGTGGGCTTTCTGTGGGCCAGGGTACAAGCCCGTCTGGCACCCCATTGGTGAAAGAGACAGTGTCTAGCCTTATCCCTGCAGGCCTCACTGGGTCTCTCCTACCCAGCAGGGGTCCTAAAGGAAATCCAGAGCACGCTGGAAGGGGACCGGGGGTAAGTCACTACAGTGCTGGGAGAATGTGGGGACGTGAAGGATGAGGCTACCATGAATGGTGATTTCCCTGTCTTTGCTACCTCAGGAGCTATGGCAATTGGCGTTCTCAGCGCATGGCTGTGGGATGTAGCCTCAGCAATGGGGAAGGTAGGCCTGTGGGCCTCCAGGGGAGGGGAAGGTCTGCTGCTCAGGGAGGGACAGGAAGAAGAGCCCTAATTGCCACCCTGCCTGGGCCCAACAGGAAATCACCAATGGCATTGGGGGCTCAGGGTGGGTGACTATGGCACCCCGTCCTGCCCAGGATGGTCCTGACCTACTGCCTCCCCATGTCCTTCCACAGCAGAGTGAACGGGACAGCATCCAGGCTGTAAGATGAACACACACTACTGAGGGCCTTTCCAGCCCAAGCCTGGCCAGGGTCTGCCCTGGTCGCCACCCTGTTGCTGCTCCTGGCCTCAGGAGAGGAGAGCCCCCACCCCAGGCGGCCCCTCCTGAGCTCTGTCTGTCTTGTTCTTTTGTCAATGTTGCACAGTTTTTATTCTTCCACCCCCCCTTTTGTAGTGGGTTGGGTTTTAAATTATAAATTTTAACTGCCTCTGAGTAAAACAGAATTTTTAATAAACACCTTGTTATGTCTTTACTGGAACAGCCTGAGGACAAGTTTTTCAGTGCTTTAAGTCCATCTCCAGCTCAGAGATGCTCAGAGAACCTCCTCTTTAAGTATTTGAATCACCAAATGTTGTTAAAATGCCTTCCAGTGGTGGTGGTGGGGAGGGCAAACAGCATCCATCCCTCCTCCTAAGGTCCCAATAACAGAGGCATGATCTGCCCAAGTCCACCCTGGCCTACTAATGAATTATTGGGCTTCCTTACAGACCACAGGTGAGGGGTTACCTACAGAAGTGTGGGTGCCCCTCGCCCCATAGGCCACCCCTAAAAAGCCTTTACCCAGTAAGGATGAGAGCTTCCCTGTAGCAATAGACGCCACTCTAGTGGGGACCCCAGAGTGGTCCCTCTCCCAGGCCAATTAAGGCAGAGTTGGTTGGTGTAGAGGCAATTGGATACTTGGGCAAGAATTTAATGCCTCACTCTGCCCTTTATATGGGATGTAAACTGCAGGCAAGCCCAGCTGGGATGTGTTGTGGGAATTTTGATCGTACTGTGACACTCCAAGACTGTTCAATAAAGTTTACCTTGCATCAGGGGTGAAACTAGAGACTAGTTGACTGGAATTGGCCATCGAGAAGCCAGCAGTTTGGATAGAGAAGACACACAGGAAGAAGAGGGCAGGGACTTGAGTATGGCGCTTCCTTTTAGTTTTGGGACCAGTGAAGAGACACGTCTCTTGCTGTTTCTCCAGCCAAAAAGGAAGGTCATCCAGTTGCTTCTCAGCTTCTCTGATCTAACAGATTTTCACCTCCACCTCCACATATGACTTCCAAGTCTTTGTTGGTAAATAAAATGAGACTTAGTTTAAACCTACATATCACAGCCCTGGACCTTCCTCGGTTGCGGGACTGAAAGGCCCTCCAGGCCGTGGCCTGAGTGGCCAGCAGAGCGTTGACTATGGGGCTCTGGGGCTACCGACAATAATTAAAACGTCAGTAGATTCACGTACAGACGCTAAGCTGACAGAAAACCATCAGGGATGCTTCTTTGCAGGAAGGCGCAGCTGAATACCCCAAGATGGTTGTTGCTCCGCCCGGACGACAGTCATGACTCTAAACCATGCTTATATCTGAACATTCTCTTTGGGAGGGTCCAGGCAGAATGTCTTGTCCTGGGTGAGACTTTCAAGTAAAAGAACATGGGGGCTAAAGTGGATCAAAGACCTCAACATAAAGCCAGTTACACTGAACTTGATAGAAGAGAAAGTAGGAAGTACTCTTGAATGCATGGACACAGGAGATCACTTCCTAAATATGACACCAGCAGCACAGACACTGAACACAACAATTAATAAATAGGACCTCTTGAAACGGAGAAGCTTTTGTAGGGCAAAAGACACAGTCTAGGATGACTGTGGCTTATAATAAGTTTTGGTTTTACTCAATCACTGGGCAAACCTCAGTGAAACATTTCACTATTAGGATAAGAATTTATACTGTATCAAGCTGATAATAGAAAAATAAATAAATTTTTAAAAAATACAGACAAAAACAAACAAGTATGGGGGCTGGAGAGATAGCTCTGTGGTTGAGAGCACTGGCTTCTCTTCCAGAGGACCTGGGTTTGATTTCCAGCACCCACATGGCGGCTCACAACCATCTATAACTCCAGTTCCAGGGGATCTGACACCTTCTTCTGGCCTCTGAGGGTACCTGTGCTCACATGTACACACCTGTAGCTAGAGTTTTCCTGCCTGGCCCACAGTCAGGGCAAATCTCTCTCACCTGCCAGTCCCACAGCCGCTCAGACCCGACCAAGTAAACACAGAGACTTATATTGCTTACAAACTGTATGGCCGTGGCAGGCTTCTTGCTAACTGTTCTTACAGCTTAAATTAATCCATTTCTATAAATCTATACCTTGTCACATGGCTCGTGGCTTACCGGCATCTTCACATGCTGTTTGTCATCGTGGCAGCTGGCAGTGCCTCCCTGACTCAGCCTTCCACTTCCCAGCTTTATTCTCCTCCTTGTCCCGCCTATACTTCCTGCCTGGCCACTGGCCAATCAATGATTTATTTACCAACCCATCAGCAACACACTTGACATACAGACCATCCCACAGCACACACCCACATACATATACACATAATTAAAACTAAGATAAATCTTTTCTTAAAAAACACAATCATTACCAATATAATATGCATTACTTCTGGGTCACCAGGAGGACCAGAAAGTCCATGGGAGCACAGAGCCTTCCCTTTGTTCATGAGTTTGTCCCAAGAGCTCACAGGACATGTTGTAAAGAGGTAAACAAGGAACTAGAGTTCTGTTGGTCAGCGATGGCAGTTCCCCACAGCCATTCTCCAGCAGGGGTTCGAGCCAGACTGGGATGGTGTCTCAGTTTAACATAAGCTGTGTGCCTCTGAGGTCTCATCCACAGAGTGCATCTGGGTAGTACCTGCCCAAGGATTCGGTGAGTTCACAGCAAAACGTTGAAAACAGCCTAGGACATACTAAGCCCATGCCTGGGTGTGACCTGCTGGTATTGTCCAGGACTCTTTCTCCGTGTTATCTTTAGAAAATCATAGTAATCCTATATGGGTCACGGTCATCAACTGGATAAATCTCCATGAACAGCATCATGTGCACCCTGGGGTCCTGCTGCAGACCCATGCCTTGGTTGTCTGTCTGTCTGTCTGTCAATAGAATCCCGTGCTGATTGCCCTTCCATGCCTGGCTGCTTTCACGCACCATTGTTTACAAGATTACCCAAGTCATCCCCGTTACTCTCCTATGTGGCTCTCACTGCTGCGTGAGAATCCGCTGTGTGAGCGTTCTGCTTTTTACTGGGTGCACAGCCCTTTGAATAACGATGCTGGCAGCAGGTATGTGCCTTGTGTCTGCAGGCACACTGGTGTTGCCCATGAGCTTGTGGTCCTTTGGGACAGTTGCTTCCTCCTCGTGAGTGTAAATTGGCACAACCTCTATGGAAGAAAATTTAGAAATCTCTGAATTACAAATACACACAGCCTATGGTCCAGCAAGTCTCCTTCTGGGAGTTAATTCTACTTGGATGAAGTTATTTCCCGGTGCTGTTGGTAACGTTAGCAAAAGATGATTACTTGATGTGATGAGTGTTTTGCCTGCACATATGTTTGTGTGCTGTGTGTGTGCCTGCTGGCCTCAGAGGTCAAAAGAGGGCATTGGCTCTCCTGGAACTGGAGTTACAGATGGTTTTGAACCACCATGTGGGTGCTGGAAACCTAGCCTGGGTCCACCATAAGAGCAACAAGTGCTCTTAACCACTGATCCATCTCCCCACCTCTCTCATAAGCAAAAGGTGAGATGAGGTAGCATCAACTCAGTTTTTTAAAAAATCCAGGGGGAAAGAATGGGAGGAGAGGGAGGGAGGAGAAACTGCAGTTGGAATGTAAAATAAATGAATAAATTTCATTAATTAAAAAAAAATCCATGGGTAGCTGGGCAGTGGTGTGCATGCCTTTGATCCCAGCACTTGGGAGGCCGAGGCAGGCCAATCTCTGAATTAGTTCGGGGTCAGCCTGGTCTACACAGTGAGTTCCAGGACAGCCAGGGCTATGTAGAAAGACCCTGTCTCAAAAAATAAAATACAAATAAAAGTTTAAAAAGCCATCCATCAAAGGGCCTCCAAGCCTCACAGCCTAGGTTAACCCCAGGACCCACCGGGTAGAAGGAAGGAACTGAGTCCGACATGTTACCTGTCCTCTGACCCCACACGTGAACTGTGGTATGCATGCACGCACTACCGTGTGTGTGCGCGCGCGCGCACACACACACACACACACACACTAAATGAATACAATTTTAAAAGCTCTATCATCAATTGGTTAAACTATAGAACATTAATTCATCAGGAGGCTGAGCAACTGGGGAGGAAGAGGAGGGAAGTCGGCACATGGTGATGTTGCTTGTTTTCTTGTTTGTTTGTTTTGGTTTTTCAAGACAGGGTTTCTCTGTGTAACCTGGGCTGTCCTGGAACTCATTATGTAGACCAGGCTGGCCTCAAACTCACAGAGATCCTCCTGCCTCTGCCTCCCATTGCTGGGATTAAAGGCGTTCACCATCACCTCTGGGCTTCTCAACATGTGTTATAAAAACCTCTAAGGTAGGGCTGGAGAGATGACTCAGAGGTTAAGAGCACTGGCTGCTCTTCCAGAGGTCCTGAGTTCAATTCTGATCAACCACAGTGACTCACAACCATCTGTAATGAGATCTGGTGCCCTCTTCTGGCCTGCAGGCATACATGCAGACGGATCACCATAATAAATTAAATAAATCTTTTTTTTTTGGTTTTTCGAGACGGTTTCTCTGTGTAGCTTTGCGCCTTTCCTGGAACTCACTTGGTAGCCCAGGCTGGCCTCGAACTCACAGAGATCCGCCTGGCTCTGCCTCCCGAGTGCTGGGATTAAAGGCGTGTGCCACCACCGCCCGGCTAAATAAATCTTAAAAGCAAAACAAAAAAACCTCCAAGGTAAACTGTTGAGTGAACAAAAGCAGCTTAGTTAGCAGAGGACTTGTCTGGAACCCACAGGGGGAACCCTGGATTCCACCCCCACGATGAAAAAAAAATCACAAAAATCTGTGAGCTAAGTAAGTTTCCACTTGTGTAAGTTGCCTTTGAGGTTGATGACACGGCTTGAGAGCACTGGCTGCTCTTCTAGGAGCCTGAGATTGGACTTCTATCTAGTTCTGTTTCATAACTCCAGAGGGGTGCACAGGCTTTACCCGGGTTCGAGGTGCATGCTCCTATTGCATGCACTTTTCAGTAGATTGTATCTCACAACAGAAAAGAATGGAACTCCCGAGTGTCCCCTGCATAGTCCCATAGCCATGGTCCCAGCCTCCTGGAAGGCCCTGGGTAGAAGCGCTTTCCTCTGCCGCTCTTGGCAGACAGGGAGTGAGGCTGAAGTGCAGAGCCTGGGCTCCTCAGTCTGGCCTGGTGCCAGGCTGATCTGAATGGCAGGGAGTCCTGGCGCCGATGCCCTGTCCACGGCCTTTGTCCACAGCTGCAGCATCTCCTCTTTCCACTGCCTCCAATCCATTGTTGACCAAGGGGGTCAGGACCCGCTGCCGCCTACATTATTGATGCTGCTGCCTTAAGAGGGAGACTCGGGATAGACTGAGCCCATAACCTCGCCGGAGCTGACTGTGTCCAGCAGCGGAGACCTCGGGGCAACCGTGGACAGTCCGATCAGAAGGCAAAAGGAGCAAGGCATTAACTGGTAAGGCAATTATGGGCGGAAGCAAGGGCAAAGCGCCCCAGCGCCGGGCACGACCCGGGAGGCCAGCCTCAGCGGAGCAGGAGTCGGGGTCCGCCAGCGCTGACAGCGCCCCCAGCCGGGATCGCAGGCTTGCCCGCGGCAAAGGCCACAAGACCAAGCCCGCTAAGGACCCTGACGCCACCAAAGGCAAGGGGACCACTGGAGGCTGCAGGAAGCCCACTGAAGAGGGGAACCACCGCTGCAGAGGTGCAGGGACTGGGGCATCACTGGAGACCCGGGAGAGGCAGGGCAGCTCTCAGGGTCGGGGCCACAGGTCCACGGGGAGCCGTGAGCCCGGGGACAGTCATGGGGAGCTCCCTGAGGAACAGAGACTCCCCGGGGAAGAAGAGTGGACGGTCAAGCGCGGCCGCCACAGAAGAAAGAAGCAGGGACCATCGGCTCCGCGAGGCCACCGAGAGACTTCTGGCAGGGATGGGGACACGTCGGGCGGGGATGGTGGCAGCTCGTGCCTGGACAGTGAATACCACGAGGCCCTGGACAGCAGCAGCCAGGGTGGTGGAGCCTCGGAGGGGCCAGTCAAGACCAAGACTTCTGACAGGAGCTCAGAAGGCGCCCTTACCAGAAGACCCGAGTCAACTGGCAGCAACCATCATGGCAATGGTGGACACGCCTTGGAGCTCCAGAGCAGGGAAGGGCCGTCGGGGACAAGGACTCAGGGAGCGAGTGATGATTCCCGGACAGATACAGACTCGAGTCCCGGGTGGTCCGGGCACAGACGTCGCCCACGGAAGACCCCAGGAACCTCAAGCCGCATCCCTGAGTCCCAGGAGACAGAGCTGGCCAGGGAAGCTGCAGTCTCCAGCTCTCTCGAGAATAGCTGCGCAAGCGCCCCCAGGGGCTCTCAGGGTCCTCAGGACTCCAAAGTGATCGCAGGCACCAGTGACGTCGGGAAGCAGCCAAAGGCTGAGCTGCAAGGCACTGAGCCTGAGACAGCAGAGGCCCCCAGGGCCCAGCGCCTCCAGGTCGGAGAGGTGGCGGGGAAGGTACCGGTGGTTGTGAGCGAGAGTGACACGGGAGCCAGAGAGGGAGCAGGTGCGGGGGACCGACGACCCCGGGACCCGGCGCCGCTGGCTGCACTCGTGGTGCTCCGCAAGCTGCGCACGAGGGCCCCGGCTGGCACGTCTCCCCAGGTCGCGGGTGGCCTCCACGGGAGCCTCAAGGCGCGGCTGCAGCGTGTGGCGCGGGCCCTGGGCCTCCTGCGCTGGCTGCGACTGCGGGTGGAGCAACGTCGGGGCGATGCGCCCAGGGCCCGCCCGCAGGAGCGTGAGGAGCGCGGCCGCGAGAGGGCGCTCGAGGCGCGGGGCGGGGCGCCCGGGCCACGGCGCTGGCGGGCCTTACGCCTGGCCTGTCGGGCGGTGCTCCGGGGACCGCCGCGGGCTCCCCCTGGCGGCAGTTCGAGCTCTCCGCAGGCGCTGAATAGCTCAGGCTCAGACCGCGCATCAGCCATCGAGGATGCAGCTCCAGATCCAAAGTTCGCGGTGGTCTTCCCCCGGATCCATAGTGCGCAGAAGGAGTCGTGCAGCGGCCCCTCAGGAGCATCCACGGACGCCCCCACTGGGGAAGGCCGCGTTTCGTCTCCTGCAGGGGCTGCAGAGTACAGGGAGGAGCAAGGGGCTAGTGAAGAAGGGGTGCTCAGGTCCCGCCAGGCTCCCTCCTTTTCCTCATCTGCCCCCAGTGGAACTTCACCGGAAGAGAACCGGAACGAAGCAGAGCCAGAGACCCCAGAAGTTGAGACTCCAGTGCACTGGGCGCAGGGCTCTACTCCCTGCGTAGACCCTGGGCTTGGCGTTGAAACTCTGCTGCCTCAACTTACCTTGGAGACCCGCCTACGGCAGAATAGCCCTTGCAGGTCCCCAAGGGAGCGGTGGGAACCAGAGGATGACGCTGAGGCAGCGCTGGAAAGGGATCTGGAGCTGAGCATCCGGAAGGACCTAGAGATGCCACCCTTCCCCGGTGCTAAGACCAGGAGTCTCCCAGAGGGCCTGGAAGACGTTGAGGACCTCGCCCGGCTGCGGTGAGGAGCATAGTGCTGAATCAGCCACCCCTGGCTCATAATTCCTCACACTCCATCTCGTCCTTGGACCTTTGAAAATCGTATGCACCCTTACTAAGTCAACAGGGGATTTTTGCCTCATAGAAAGGCAGGTTTGGGGTGAAAGGTTCCCCTTCCAAAGCTCCAGCACCCCCCTACTGTGGATTGAACCTAGGATCTCCTGCATTCGGTCCTGATCTATATAGACCCCCCCCATCCCGCTTTTTTTTTTTAATGGGCGGGGGGCAAACTCTTGAGTGTCACAGTATACATGCAGAGGTCAGAGGACAACTTGCAGAAGTTGACTCTCTCCCACCCTGTCGTTTCTGGGGATCACACTCGGGTTATCAGGCTTTGGGGCAGTGCTTTTACCCTTTTAGCCATCTTTCTGCTCACCCCCACATCCACTCCCACCCCCACCCCCACATGCGCCCTGTTTATACCTTTTCATTTGTTAAAAAAATCTCACCAGGTTGCCCAGGCGGGAGTTGAACTTGTGATACTCGGGCCTTAGCCTCCCAAGTCTTTGGAATTACAGGCCCGCGCCACAGGGATAGGAGAGGGACTTCCTTTCCTGGCTGGCCCAGAGAGCATCTCTCTTGATCAGCAGCCCCTCACCCCTACCCCCAGGGGATGGGGAGCAACTGAAGAGCCCGGCTGGAAGTTGCATAGCTTGCCCAGGGTTTCCCTAACGCAGCAGGGCTAGCCCAGGACTGGCTCTCAGCAACTTCACCCTTGTCCTGCTGTCCCCACAGGCTGGTGTGTGACAGCTCTGTGCTGCTGTGCCTCAAGAAGAGGTTCCACCTGGGCCGCATCTATGTAAGGGCACCACAGAGAAGGGCCGTGGCTGGAGTCTCCTCCTCTGTGGGCACCCCTGGGGCTTCTCTTCATCCCTAGACTGAATGTAAAGCTCCTCTACCTGGGGTCCCGCGAGACATGTGAGAGGCCGGCTCCTCTACCTGGGGTCCCGCGAGACATGTGAGAGGCCAGTCTGGGGTGCCTCGGAGTGCCCCATTTGTATCCCCTTCTCATAAGAGCCTCTGCTTTCTTTGCCAGACTTTCGGGGGGCCCCTCCTGCTTGCTCTGAACCCCCACCAGGCACTCCCTCTCTTCTCACCTGAGGTCTTGGCCAGCTACCATCCCAGGAAGGCCCCGAACACCACTCCGTAGGTGACTTTGCCCCTTTGCCCTGTACGCGTCTCCCTGCATATATGTCTTACTGAGGGAGTTGCAGGGCCTGTGGGCGCATCACCTATTCCTAGAGGCCCCAGACAACCATCTCTGGCACCGGCTCATCACTCTGGTGTCCTTCTCCCCAGACACGTCTTTGCCGTCGGGGCAGCAGCCTATAGCCTGTCTCAGAGCTCTGGACAGGACCCCTGCATCCTCCTAGGGTGAGTCATGACTGCCTTGTTTGCCTGAACCCACACAGCACCCTAACTGTTGGTCCTGTGCACTGCTGGGCAGCAATTCAGGACGACCCCCTCGGGACTTCCTGGGCCCAGTGGGGCAGCCCAGGGTGCTCCCTCCCATCCTTAGCTCCTCCCTCCTGCAGGGGGCACAGTGGCTCAGGGAAGACAGAGGCGGCCAGGAAGATCGTGGAGCTTCTAAGCAGCCTGGGGCAGAAGCAGACAGAGGCCAGAGGGGCTCAGGTGAGGGCTGGCTGGAGGCAGCTGGTCGTCTCTCAGGCCATTTCTCCACGCCTGGCTTTTCTTGGGTCAGCCCCAAGATTTCCCCGATGCAGGCAGTAGGGTTGGGCCTTTCTACTTTGTTTGTTATTGTTTTTTGCTCTTGGTGGTAGTTTTTTGTTAATTTGGTTTTGCTTTCCTTTTTGCTTTTAGTTTTTTCAAGACATGGTTTCTGTGTAGTCCTGGCTGTCCTGGAACTCAAGCTGTAGACCAGGCTGGCCTCAAACTCAGAGACCCACCTGCTTCTACCTAGAGTGCTGGGATTAAAGACACGAGCCACCATGCCTGACTCTTTTTTTTTTTTTTAATGGGGTCTCAGGTAGCCCAGGATGGCCTAGAATTTCCTATGTAACTGAGCTTGACCTTGAACTTCTGATTCTCCTGCATGTACCTCTTGAGTGCACCACCACACCCAGTTTTATGTGGTGCTGGGGACTGAGCCCAGAGCCTTGTGGATGTTAGAGGAACACTCTGCAAATTGAGCTACACCCACAGCCCTTTTTAATTTTTTTTTGGGGGGGGGTGTTTCTGATAGGACTGACCCCACGCAGGCGCACACAGCCAGCAGTATAGCGGACTCTCAGTGGGTAGTGGGTGCTATGGCCATCTCAGGTATACCTGAGTGTCCCAACCCTCACACAGCTAAAGGACATACTGCCCGTGCTCAACAGCTTTGGCCACGCCAAGACCATCCTCAATGCCAATGCCAGCCGCTTTGGCCAGGAGCTATGCCTCTGCCTGCAGCAGTGAGTGGAGGTCCCGTGGGCACAGGGACACCTGAGATGGGTTACTCTTCTTGGGCGCTCGGATACTTCCTGCCTTTGGCCTCAGCCCCTGGATGGCCCCTGCTGCAAAGTACCCCCGGGTATGCCACCCTGTCTCTTTTACCCACAGGGGAGTCACTGTAGGAGCCTCTGTGTCCCACTATCTGCTTGAGACCTCCAGAGTAGTGTTTCAGGTAAGGACCCGCCTCCTGCCCACCCTTCTCGGACTCCAGAAGTTGGAAGGAGGAGGAACCACAGCCCTCAAGCCCTGCTCCACCCCTAAGCAAGTTTCTCTCTCCAAGGCCCAGGCTGAGCGAAGCTTCCATGTTTTTTATGAGCTGCTGGCAGGGTTGGACCCCATGGAACGTGAGCAGCTCTCTCTGCAGGGACCTGAGGCCTACTACTACCTCAACCAGGTAGGGGCGAGGCTCTCATGGATGGTGCGCCCAGACAAGGGGCTCAGCCAGGGCTTTCAGGATGCTGTGGGGATGCCAGGAGCTGCCCCACCACAAACCTGCTGTACTCTACAGGGCAGAGCCTGCAGGCTCCGGGGCAAAGAGGATGTCCAGGACTTCAAAGGGCTGGTGGAGGCCCTGCGGGTGCTGGGCTTGTGCGCAGAGGAGCTGACTGAAGTCTGGGCTGTGCTGGCCACCATCCTGCATCTGGGGAACATCTGCTTCTCTTCTTCAGAGGTGGGCTTCCCTGTGGGCAGGACCAGTGAGCACACAGGATGGGCAGTGGCGATGACAAGCCACTGTGTGCCTCTTGGTACTCAGCTGTCACCCTCAAGGACAGGCCAGAAGAGGGCACCAGACCTCATTATGGATGAAGCCACCATGTGGTTGCTGGAAATTGAACTCAGGACCTCTGAAAGAGTAGCCAGTGCTCTTAACCGCTGAGCCATCTCTCCAGCCCCCCTTGACACTTCTTAAAAGAAACTTAATTCTCATGTCAACAGCTGTGTCCCAGGGGGTATTGTTTTCCCTCTAGCAATAAGGCAGCAGAGAGTGAGAAAGAGAAAAGGACCGCCCAGCCACGAAGAGAGAGTCGGGGCTCACACTCAGGGCCTTCAGCCCCGCCCGGAGCCTGGCTCACCGAAGTCCAGAGTGCCTTGTGTGCTGTTGGCTCTTTATTTATTTTGAGACAGAATTTTACTCTGTAGTCCAGGCTGGCCTCAGACTCACAGAGATCCACCTGCCTCTGCCTCCCAAGTGCTGAGATTAAAGGTGTGCGCCACCACCGCGGGCTGCTGTCGTCCCTTAAAGAACCGGCAGCTGGCTAGATAAAGCAAGGCCATGCCTGGGCACTATTGCCATCACAGAAGCAAAACTCTTTCCGTCCCCTCCCCCTCTGTCTAGCGGGAGTCCCAAGAGGTGGCTGCTGTGTCCAGTTGGGCTGAGATTCACTTGGCAGCCCGGCTGCTACAGGTGCCACCAGAGCGCCTAGAAGGGGCAGTCACCAAGAGGGTCATGGTGAGCCGCAAGGGTGCTGGGGAGGTGGGAGGAGCAACCCGAAGCACCTGTGGGTATGGGCCTGACATCCTGAGCATGTCTCTGATCTCCAGGACACGCCCTATGGCCGCGTCTCCAGATCTCTGCCGGTGGAAAGCGCTATCGACGCCAGGTAACCCTGGGGATCAGAGAGGGGAGAGAGGGGAGCCAGGTGTGGCACTCTGCTGGGCAAGGCTCACTTACGGTGTCTGCAGGGACGCCCTGGCCAAGACTCTGTACACAAGGCTCTTCAACTGGCTTCTGAAGCGGATCAACGTGAGGCTGGCTCCACCAAGGGAGGCAGACAGTGTGGGCACCATCACTGTCGTGGACGCCTATGGCTTTGAGGTCACCCTTTGGGAGGGGGAGGAGCAGGCAGGTGGTGCCCATCTCATTCCAGCTCCTCCCCGGAGGGCTCGAACAGGCCGAGGTTTTGCCCTTTAACCTCCCCCTTGTTAAAAACCTTTAGATTACACTCCTTAAGCTAGCCACTAAGGTCAGTTCTCTTATTTGGCCACTTCCTCCTCCTGAGGCTGACTGCCAAGGCCCAGCAATCAAAGTATTGAAGTCCATCAATCAAAACCCCCTTTTGGCTCACCAAATTAGCATACCCAATTAAAACAAACCAACTCATCCTAACATGGGGTATCCCCTTTACCTTTATAAACTGCCATTTGCCACCGGGCCACGTCTGCTTCCTCTCTGTCCACAGTCCTTTGTCCCTCCTGGGCAGATACCCCTCCCCCCTCCCTGTTCCTTTCCTCTGCTCCCTTGTCCTCTGTCTCCTGTCTTTGCCTCTTATTCCTTGTCCTTTGTCCCTCGGGGGCCGATAAGTCTCTTAGTGCTGAGGACTTGTGTGTCTTGTACGGATTCCCATCCTCTCCCTCTCTATACTGTTTTCCTATCTGACCTGTGCCTTTGCCGGCTTCTTCTGGGGCGACTGAGTGGAATCCTTGAGTGTCCCTCGGTGGGGATGAGGAGGCACCAGGATGGAAAGGGAACAGGTCCTGCCTCTTGGGTCTTTAGAGTCTGGTTGAGGCTGGCAGAGAATCTTGGGGCTCTTGGTCCACTTATCTCCATCTGCATGTTCCTGGGAGGACGGTGGTCCACCACATGTACCTTTCCCAGCTGGGGCTGGGAACCCTCCTGGATTCCCTCTGGGAGGGGCTGGAGCCCACCCCAAGCCCCAGGGCTCTCTGCCTCACCTTCCCTTGCTGGCTGTGTGGCCTCACACAGCTAATTAACCCTCCTGAGGCCTCCGGCAGTAAAGTAGGCAATGTTAGCTCTCTACAGATAGAGTCCTGTCCTGCTCTGTCCTGTTCTGGCACTGCTTCTGGAGAGTTCCGTCCTGCATGGCCACCTCGGGCTGGGCTTGTCCGCAACCTCACCTCCCACATACCAAGGAGGAAGGAAGTAGACCCTTTCCAATCTTCCAAAACTGTCACAGCTGTGCACTCCTTGCCTCAAGAGTCGCCTCCTTGAGTCGTGGGGAGGGGCCAGCAATAATGGGGCTTGGAGAAAGGAGATAGGCCAACCCCAGTTCCTGGATGGGCACTGTTCACTGCCCTGTGTGTCCTGCCTTCCTTAGAATGTCCTTGGTGACCACTTCTGCCCTGGGTGGGAAGGGTTGTATGCGTGTGTGTTCTGGTGTGTTTGCAGGTGTGCACAGCTGTGCAAAGGTAGTGGGTGTGCATAGCTGTGCAAAGGTATAGTAAGTGCCCTGCTGGGCTTGAGCCTGCATGCTGAGGCTGCAGAGGAAAGCAGGGGAGGAAGACTAGAAGGCTTCCTGGAGGTGGCCACCAGGGGGATTCTGAGAGCCACCAAGATAGTGGGAAGATGCACCCTCCAGAGCCTCTCAGGATGGCTGTGATCAGAACTCCAGAGGCTCACAGCGCTATTGGAGCAGAGGGCGGGAGCGTGGAGAGCTGGAGGGAGGGCTGGTCTACGGTGGCCTATAGGCTGCACCATGTCCTTCAGACTTGTCCCTGCAGTCTCAGCTCAGGGAGAGAAGGGAGGGGTCTCCACTCGCCCTGCCCCCACTCCAGTGCCCATCCCGTCTTCGCCCACCCCAGGCGCTGCGGGTGAACGGCTTAGAGCAGCTGTGCAGTAACCTGGCCAGCGAGCGCCTGCAGCTCTTCTGCAGCCAGAGGCTGCTGGCCCAGGAGGAGGTAGGGAGCTGGGCACAGATGAGAGCACTGCCCAGCACAGAGGTCACCCCAAAGCCCCCTTTCCTGGTGGGTGGGGAGGGTCAGTCCTTTGTCGGCTCTGTGATCGCTCCCTGCCCAACAGACGTGGGCTGTGAGTTACCAAAAACTGGTTCTTTCTAGGAGGAGTGCCAGCGGGAGATGCTGAGCTGGGCACCCATTCCCCAGCCTCCGAGGGAGTCCTGCCTGGACCTCCTGGTGGGCCAGCCCCACAGCCTCTTGAGCATCCTGGACTCCCAGACATGGCTCTCCCAGGTATATCAGTCGTCAGTTATGCTCAATGTCACAGACAAGGAATGGTGGGCCCTAAGCAGCCAGGATGAAGCCAGCAGGGCCTCCTGGGAGACAAGCAGGTTATAGGGTCCAGAGACCCAGCTTTTCTGCACAGCCCAGGGAAGGTGCATTCAAGAGGGAAAGCCCTGGGATCCCACCAATGCCTTAAAAAACATTTAATTTTAAGTGTATGAATATATTTTTGTTTTTGTTTGTTTGTTTGTTTCAAGACAGGGTTTCTCTGTGTAGTCTTGGAACTCACTCTGTAGACCAGGCTGGCCTTGAGTTCAGAGATCAGCCTGCCTTTGCCTCCTGAGTGCTGAGATTAAAGGCTTGCACCACCACCACCCGGTGTGTATGAGTGTTTTGTCTTCAAGGATGCTTTGTCTTCAAGTGTGAGCACACACACACACACACACACACACACACACGCACGCACACACACACACACACCATGGAAGTCAGAAGAGGTTGTTGGATCCCCTGGAACTGGAGTTCGGATGGTTGTGAGCTGCCATGTGTGTGCTGGGAGCAGAACCCGTGACCTCCGGAAGAGCGGCCAGTGCTCTTAGCCATCTCTTCAGCCCCTTAGTCTTGTTTTGTTTTTGAGACAGGAAGTCATGTATATAGTCTTAGCTGGCCTTGAACTCCTGATCCTTGTGCATCCACATCCTAAGTACTGGAATTAGAGGCATGTACCACCAACAGCCAGCTATAAATGCTTCTTGGGTTAGTAACTGGCTATGGGGTGTAAATACTCCCCGTTACACATCAGCCTCTGCCACCCTGTATTTGAACCCCTGGAGAGAGCAGACTTACTCTCTTGATTGTCAAGTAATGTGATTAAGTCACTAGCAACACACGGAATCAGCTTAATGATCAAAGGAATTTGTTTGGGGGTTAACTCACAACCATGGGAGATGGGAGATTTATCGTAGAGTCTGGGAAGGCTGAGCTATGTCCCACACTGAACAGCTTGGTCCAAGATCTCAGCGTCCAAACCATGAGGTAGCCAAGATCACTGCATACGTGCATCCCAGGTCTTAAGGGTCCTCCAGTGGCCACGCCCCTGGGGCAGGTACCTCAAGGTCGTAGGCAGGTGTAACTGTTACTAGGGGCAGTGTTTCAGGGTATGGCTCAAAGAGCCATTCACTACAGTCAGTGTGACTTCTCTCTGTACTAGACTGAGATGCAGGCGGGCTGGGTCTGTCTGAGGGCTTGGATTCCATCTGTAGTGCGCTGGCATTGAAGGAAGAACGGAAGAATTGGCATGTAGGGACCATTCTAAGGGAAAAAAATCAGACACAGAAGATTCAGTTCTTCCCCTCCTGGACCCAGGAGAGTGGGGAAAAAAAATGTTAGGGGCTGGAGAGAGGGCTTAGCAGTAAAGAGTACTTGCTGCTCTTGCAGAGGGGCCAAGTTCAATTCCCAGCATCCACATGGTGGATCACAACCGTCAATATAACTTCAGTTCCAGGAGATCTGATACCCTCTTCTGACCTCCATGGGCACCAGACACATATGTGACGCACATAGAGATATGCATGCAAAGCACACACACATATTAAAAAGGAAATAGCCGGGCGGTGGTGGCGCACACCTTTAATCCCAGCACTCGGGAGGCAGAGTCAGGCGGATCTCTGTGAGTTCGAGGCCAGCCTGGGCTACCAAGAGAGTTCCAGGAAAAGGCGCAAAGCTACACAGAGAAACCCTGTCTCGAAAAACTAAAAAAAAAAAAAAAAAAAGGAAATAAATCTAAAAATTAATTAATTTTTAAAAATGTTAAACTGGGCATGGTGGCTCACACCTTTAGTCCTAGCATTTAGGAGGCAGAGCCAGGAGGATCTCTGTGAGTTTGAGGCCAGCCTGGTCTACAGAGTGAGATCCAGTACAGGCACTAAAACTACACAGAGAAGGGGCTGGAGAGATGGCTCAGCGGTTAAGAGCACTGGCTGCTCTTCAGAGGACCCGGGTTCAATTCCCAGCACCCACATGGCAGCTCACCACTGTCTGTAATTGCAACTCCAGGAGTTCTGACACCTTCCCACAGACACACATGCAAGCAGAAACACCAGTGCACATAAAATAAAAAAATAAAATGTTTAAAAAAAAAAAAAAAAACTACACAGAGAAACCCTGTCTTGAAAAACAAAAATCAATCAATCAATCAATCAATCAATCAATCAGATGGGTATGATAGCACGTATTTTTAGTCCCAGGACTCAGGATGCAGGTCCAGGCAGATCTTTGAGTTGGAGGCCAGCCTGGTCTACAGAGTGAGATCCAGGACAGGCACTAAAACTACACAGAGAAACCCTGTCTTGAAAAACAAAAATCAATCAATCAATCAATCAATCAGATGGGTATGATAGCACTTATTTTTAGTCCCAGGACTCAGGATGCAGGTCCAGGCAGATCTTTGAGTTGGAGGCCAGCTAGTCTACATAGGGAGTTCCAGGACAGCTATGGCTACATAGTGAGGCCCTGTCTCAACAACAAAGTCAGGCTTGGCAGGGTAGCCCCATCAGAAAGCTGAAGCAAGATGGTCACTTAAGCTCAGGAGTTCAAGGCCAGCCTGGGCAACATACAACAGTCCCTACCTTAAAAAAGAAGAGGGAGGGAGCCTGGGGGCGTACAGTTCAGTGGTAGTGCTTGCCTGGTGTGTGAGACAGTGGATTCAGTCTCTAGAGTCTAACAAACTCCACCCAACCTGGGGTGGTAATGAATACCTGTCAGCTCTCACAAGGCAGGGGCAGGAGGAATGCAAATTTGAAGCCAACACAGCCTGATGTAATAATAATAATAATAATAATAATAATAATAATAATAATAATAAAGCCAGGCTGAGCTAGGCAGTGCATAGGAGACCGTTTCTCACAATAAATGAGAATCCCAGCGGTGTGGCTGGGTAGGGAGCTCTGTGGAGTCACAGAACGTGTGTAGAACCCAGACCTTTGGGAACTGAGGCTGGAGGGTAGACACCAAAAATAGTGACCGTGGGGTAGCGACATAGCCCAGTTGGTAGAGGGCTTGCCTAGCAGGCACAGAGCCCTGGGTTCGATCCCCAGCACGGTATAAAATCAGGCGTGGTGGTGCTGTTCTATGGAACAGTTGGGGCCGACCAACTGAGTTCAGCTGTGTCTCCTTGCCAAGGATCATCCCAGGTGGGTTCTTAACTGTTTCTTAACTCACAGAGGGATCAGGAGGGTGCCAGGACCCTCACCTGAGTATCCAGCCTCACTTTACTGCTTGTACTCCATGCGGCCCTTGTTGGCCAGCATAGCACGTGGTGGCGGGGTGTGTGTGTGTGTGTGTGTGTGTTAGTGTGCTAGGGAGGGGCTCCGTCTATGCAGCTAGAGGAGAGTCGTCGTCCCTGCTGGGTAAGACTCTCGGGGGAGGAGCACCCACACCACTAAGTAACCCACACCTATGCTCGCTAAGTAAGCCTGGTGAACTAACTGGTTCCCCAGAGTGAACATTGGTGGAATTGTGCCGTGGTCTCCCACAGGGACCTTGGGAAAAGGGACAGGTGTTGCCTAATCCTCCCTTGAGAAGGGATTTTGGCAAAAGATGCACACTTGTGATCCCAGCACTCTAGAGGTAGAGGCGAGGAGGGTCATCTTGGCTACACAGTTGAAATGGAGGCTAGCCTGGGCTACAGGACAAGACTAAACCAAACAAAACCAAACAAACAGCATAGTGTGCAAATCTTGAATCCAACCTTTAATCCCCAAGATTCTGAATGCAGAGGCAGGTGGGTCGATGCGAATTCAAAGCCAGCCTGGTCTACATAGGAAACTCTCCAAAACGAAAGAAACCCTATCACAGGTCTTTCTGAAGTCCCAGGGTCACTTTGTAAAAATTTTAGATTTGTTTTATGTGTATGGGTGTTTTTTTGTCTAAATACTATGTGTGTACCTGGTACCTGAGGAGGCCAGAAGAGGGCGTCAGATTCTCTGGGATTGAAGTTACAACCGTGAGCCACCATCCATGCAGGAGCTGGGAACTGAACCAGGTTCTCTGGCAGAGCAGCCCCTGCTCTTACCCACCGAGCCGTCTTGCCAGCCTTAAGTTACATAACACGACCTGTAAGAACTTGCTGAGAAGCTGTAGCTGTGGGACACACCTGGAGTGGTTTTGACATCTGTGTCAAAGCGCTCGGCTCTCTCTCCTTTTCATTCCCTCAGGCTTTCTCAGAAACGTCACATCTAGGGCTGGTGGAGGTGGCCCCTGGGCCTGAGGGGACCCTGACTTTCTCAAGTAGCACTTGGTTGTTCCAAATGTAAGGTCCTTGAGAAAGAGCACACACTTTATACAGACTTACTGACTCTGCCTGCCTGAGGAAGAAATTTGGAGAGACAAGTCTCCCTGTCTAGGGAGTGTGGTTCTGGGGTCTCCAGGAGGGAGCGAGGTCCCGGCAGGGAACAGCAAGCATGTACGAACCCTGAGGAAAGTGTGACGTGTGACTCCTTCGTCACCAGGCCACAGACCACACTTTCCTCCAGAAGTGCCACTATCACCACGGTGATCATCCGAGCTACGCCAAGCCTCAGCTGCCCCTGCCCATATTCACCGTGCGGCACTCTGCTGGGACTGTCACCTACCAGGTATCTGTTCTTGAGTGTTGTGTGTCGGGTGTGGGTTCACTCGGGCCGTGGAATCAGGAGACAGATGCACCTCGGGATGAATCTTTAGCCTTTCTCAGCTGCAGGGGGATTCCTCTCTAGGGACTGGTCTACCCTCATTTAGCAAAGGGCCCTTTTGTTATACAATTCATACCTTTAGCAAGTTATACCAAAACTTTTTTTTATTTTTTTTTTAGTTTTTCGAGACAGGGTTTCTCTGTGTAGCTTTGCGCCTTTCCTGGAACTCACTTGGTAGTCCAGGCTGGCCTCGAACTCACAGAGATCCGCCTGGCTCTGCCTCCCGAGTGCTGGGATTAAAGGCGTGCGCCACCACCGCCCGGCTAGTTTTTATTTTTATATGTGTTAGTGTTTTTGCCTGCATGTATGTCTATGTGAGGGTGTCGAATCCCCTGAAATTAAGAGTTACAGACAGTTGTGAGCTGTCATGTGGGTGCTGGGAATTGAACTTGGGTCCTCTGGGAAAGCAGTCAGTGCCCTTAACCACTAAGCCATCTCTCCAGTTCCAAAACCAAAACTTCTTATCTAAGCCCCCCAGAGGGACAATGCCAAATTCAAATTCTCAGTACACAATGTTCTGGTTGTTCTTAAATTAAGTTTGCATAGTCTTTGAGCCCCTAGGAAAACTCTCAGATAAGACCTCAAACAGAAGGTACGGGAGACAGGAGGTAGCAGTCACAAAGGGCAGATCAAAGCTCGGTGCTAACACTCTCCAGAGTCAGATCAAACCAGGTGTAGCTCTGTGGGAATTCTCCCCTCACTTGAGCATAGACTCCAGGGTGAATCAGTAAGGCCCTGTCACCTTAGGGTCTGCCCCTCCCAAGCTGAGTCATCTGCCAGGTGACAATGTCAGGGAGGTCCCTTCCAAGGTGTGGCAGTGTGTAACTCTACCTGAGCATCAGGTCACACCCAATTCCGAGCATTAATTATTTTTCATAGCCCCTCAGCAAGGGGTGGGGCCTTGGGAGCTCCTCCCACTCACGCTGAATATTTATTTATATGTTTTTAATGTGTGTGGGGGGAGGGGGTTGTGTATGCTACAGCACACATGTGGAGGTCAGGGGATAACTTTTGGGAGTTGGTGCTCTCCTTCCACAGTGTGAATACCTGGGGTTGAACTTGGGTCCTCGGACTCGGGAAGCAGGCACCTTACTGGCCCAGCTTCTTAGGCAGTTCTCTCTCTCTCTCTCTCTCTGTTTTTCGAGACAGGGTTTCTCTGTTTAGCTCTAGCTGTCCTGGAACTCACTCTGTAGACCAGGCTGACCTCCAACTGACAGAGATCCACCTGCCTCTGCCTCCTGAATGCTGGGATTAAAGATGTGGGCCATCACACCCGGTTTATCTAATTTTCTTTTGCCACACAGACACTGCTCACAGTGGGCTGGGCTCTCCCACATCAATCATTCATCAAGAAAATGCCCCACAGATATTTTGCCTACAAGCTAATCTGATGGAGGCGTTTTCTCAGTTGAGGTTCCCTCTACCCAGATGACTCTAGCCTGTGTCAGGTTGACCAAAAAACAAACACACAAAAAACCTCACCAGCACAGCCCTCTTCCTATAGCCAGTTCTTGCCTGGTGAATCTAGAAAAGTAACGCTGATCTGATCTGGTGAAAACTCTGTGGATTCCTGCAGGAGGGGAAGGAACTGGTTTGGGTGGGTTTTGTCCTGTTTGTTTTGTCTTTTTCACACAGGGTCTGTCTATGTAGCCCCAGCTTCCCTGGAACTCACTCTGTAGACCTGGCCTCAAACTCACAGAGATCCACTTGCCTCTACCTCCCAAAGTGTTGGAATTAAAGGCATGTACCACCATCCCTGGCCCTTGATTTGAGACGGGGTCTCATATTGCCTCATCTGGTCTTTAGGTTTCTTTCTAGGCAAGGATGACCTTAAATTTCACATCCTTCTGCCTCCAATCTCCACATGCTGGGGTTGTGGCTGTGCAACACCCACTCCCAGTTCAGGCCATGCTGGGATTCAAACCCAGGGCCTTGGGTATGTAAGGTAAGGGCTCTTCTGTTGGTTACACTGTGGTGCTGCTCCTTCTGGCTGGCGGAGGAGAGTGCTGGTTGGAAGAATCACAAGCTATAGTTACCTTTTTACAGCTTTATTGGGGGAGAGAGAGAGAGCGGAAAGAGAAGAGGGGGGGGAGAGGACAGACAAGAGCGGAAAGGAAAGAGAGGGACGCACAGAGGGCCCACCCGCTTTTTAGGATGGGACGCCATCGCAGACTGATGACGTAATTAAGGACCGAATCCTTACGTCTTCTAGCTGAGCTACAGTCCTGTCCTTGAGATTGGGTTTTGATTAAAAACAACAACAACAAAAATTACTCTGGGATTTCTTTTTTTTTTTTTTCCTTTTTTGTTTTGTTTTTTGAGACAGGGTTTCTCTGTGTAACAATACTGGCTGTCCTGGAACTCCTTTTTTTTTTTTTTTTTTTTTTTTGGTTTTTCGAGACAGGGTTTCTCTGTGTAGCTTTGCGCCTTTCCTGGAACTCACTTGGTAGCCCAGGCTGGCCTTGAACTCACAGAGATCCGCCTGGCTCTGCCTCCCGAGTGCTGGGATTAAAGGCGTGCGCCACCACCGCCCGGCTCTGGAACTCCCTTTATAGACCTGGCTGGCCTCAAACTCACAGAGATCTGCCTGCCTCTACTTCCCGAGTGTTGGGATTAAAGGCCTGTGCCACCACTGTCCAGCTTTTTCTTTTTAAAGATTTATTTATTTTATGTGTATGGATATTTTGCCTGCCTGCACCACATGCATGAACTTCTATGTGGGTATGGGAGTTGAATCCCGGTCCTTTGTAGGAGCAGCCAGTGCTCTTAACCACCGAGCCATCTCTCCAGCCCCACTATTCTGAGATGTAGAGAAGAAATTTACATGAGAGTAGCCAAGATGTGGAGGCCCACAAAGGTCTAGTGAGATCTAAGCTTGCTTTACCCAGCAGAGCTGCATTAAAGAATTGCTTGACCAGGTGTGTGGTTACCAGGTGACTGGAAAGGGTCTGCACTTGGCTGAGCTGGGGAGAGGTCTTTTGCTCCACCCTTTGGCATTCCTATAAAAGGCCCTTTAGAAGAGACAGAAGGGGCCGGTGGATAATGATCCAGACCCTGCTGAACATTTCTATTTCTCTCCCCTCTATCCTTCTAATATCTCTTATCCCTCTCTCCTCAAGAGTTACCTGTTGAAAATGTGGGAGCCGGTCTCCCAGCTGGGCTCCCACACCAAGAGAATACTGAGGAGACAGAGGATGAAGGGGTAGGAAACTGTCCTGCTGTATGTACCCTGGAAGAAGACAGCTTTGCTAAAACATGGACCCATGTTTTCTGGGATGAACCAGAAAGGCCAGGCGCCCAGCAGGACTATGCAACGCTGAGGCCTGCCTGTGTTCTGAGGCATGGTGCACAACCAGCCTCTTACAGGGCTGCCCACCTGCCGCCTCTCTTGCAGGTGCACAAGTTCATAAGCAGGAACAGGGACCACCTGGACTCTGCCATGGTGGAGATGCTTGGACAGAGCCAGCTGCAGGTGACCTGGTGTGCCTTTCAGGTGCCCACGTAGCTTAGCCACCATCAAGCCTTGAGCGGCTAGCCCTCGGCACCGTGGTCCCCTGGATGGAGGAATGAGCGTGCAGGGGTCTAGTGTTGAGGGCTGCCTGTCCTGGCTCCCCAGGGGCTGTGTGGTGAGTGGACAGGCCCCGGATGGAAACAGCTGAGACTCTCACCCCTCAGCTTGTGGGCAGCCTGTTCCAGGAAGCAGAGGCGCAGGCTGGGAGAGAGCAGAGCAAACCCACACTGGCCTCTCGATTCCAGCAGGCCCTGGGGGACCTGCTAGCCCGGCTAGGCAGGTGAGAACTCCGCCCTTCCACTGGACCCCAGGGAGTTGGAGGGTAGTCTGGTCTGTGACTGTCCCCCTTCCACTCTTCAGGAGCCATGTCTATGTCATCCACTGTCTCAACCCCACCCCTGGAAAGGTGAGCTCCCTTTCCCCAACCTCACCCCTGCCCTAACCTCACCCCTGCCCTGCTCTCCTCAGTCCCTCCCTTCTCTGAGACCCTCTGTCAGCCCTAGTGCCCTGACTCCAGCTCTCCTTGGCTGTGCCTCTCTCTGGCTTACAGCTCCCAGGCCTCTTTGATGTGGGGCACGTGGCAGAGCAGCTGCGCCAGGCTGGTATCCTGGAGGTCATAGGCGCCCGAAGTGCCCACTTCCCTGTGCGAGTGCCCTTCCAGCTCTTCCTGGCCAGGTAGGGTTCTGTGGTGAGGTAGCTGAGGACCTGGGGCCAATGTCTGCAAGACAATCCCAGGTATGTAGTCCTGGCAGAGAAGGGACCATGTGCCTGACTTCCATCACTCTCCCCTTCCCTATTCCTCACAGGCAGACCGACAGACACACAGGCAGACAGACAGATGGACAGACAGACGGACACACACAGGCGGACAGACACACACACAGGCAGACAGACAGACGGATACACACAGGCGGACAGACACACACATAGGCAGACAGACAGACAGACAGACAGACACACACACACACACACACACACACACACGCACGCATGCATGCTCCTTTCAATATTCACTGCATCTCCCCAGTGCTAATACCCTGCTGGAGATTATTTGGGGCCCTGCCTACCCTGGGACCTTACCGAGCAACCAGGTGGACATAGCGCAAGTATTGTGAAGTCGTGACTGAGTCAGTGAGATGAGGGAGGACAGTTAGCAGAGCCTTTCAGATGGATAAGGGATAGCAGGTGCAGGGGCAGCCATGGGGAGCCAAGAGGTCAGGTAGCGCAGTGAGGCTGGGATCGCCTTTGATGGAGAGCTCAGAAGCATCTAGGAAAACTGGTGACTGTTTGTGGTGGTGTCTGTTTGGCCTCAGCCTGGACTCGCCTCCCATCCACCTCTGAGGCTTCACCTCAGGGCTCTGACTACCTTCTTTGCCTGTGACTGTCTTAGCAGGGGACAGTCTGCCCGAGGGGTGGGAGCCTGAAGCAGGAAGTAGATGAGTGGTGTGAGCCTGTCCCTGAGCTAAATACTGAGAATGACAGGTGACAGGTGAGAAGGTTCTGTCCTCGCTCTGGGACACCTGCCAAGTCGGTGATTGTCACCTGTTCCAGGAAGCGCTGCCCTCTGCTAGGGGACCTGGGAGTATGTTGTGTTCCCAGCCCTGGCCGGTCTTTTGATGGGCAGCCATGCTTTCTGCCTCACCCTCTGCAGGCATGCCCTGAGCTCCCCCCTCGGTCCTGTGGCAGGCACCCCGGGGAGACAGAAGCCACAGGGTTGCTCCTCTAGCCTTGTCTGGACAACCTGCCTGTTCTCCGGAGCAGAGGTCTCTGCCTGGAGTCAGCACATCGCCTGGCCCTGGCGGAGTGTACTAGTTATTTTTACTGTGAGATTTACACAACCTAGACTCATCGGAAAGAGCTGTGGGGTTGTTGTTTTAGTGCCGTGTTAGATGTGTTTTGTGTGTATGTGTATGTGCCTGCGGGTACTTGCACAGGCCAGGTCGGATTGCCTGGAACTGGAGTTACTGGCAATTGTAAGCTGGCTGTCATGGGTGCTGGGAACTGAACCTGGGTCCTCTGCAAGAGCAGCAAGTGCTCCTAACCACGGAGCCATCTTTCTAGCTCTGGAAGAGAGTCTTTTGTTTTTGTTTTTTTGTTTTTTCGAGACAGGGTTTCTCTGTGCAGGTCTGGCTGTCCTGGAACTCACTCTGTAGCCCAGGCTGGCCTCGAACTCACAGAGATCCGCCTGCCTCTGCCTCCCGAGTGCTGGGATTAAAGGTGTGCACCACCACTGGAAGACAGTCTTTTTTTTTTAAATTATTTTTACTTTATTTGCATTGGTATTTGCCTATGTGTATGACTGTGTGAGGTTGTCAAATCTTGGAGTTACAGGCCATTGTTAGCTGCCATGTGGGTGCTGGGAATTGAACCCCGGTCCTCTGGAAGGGCGTTCAGTGCTCCTGACTGCTGGGCCATCTCTCCAACTCCTGGAAGATAGTGTTAATGAGAAACTGTCCCGGGGACACTGGCCTGTAGGGATGTCTCTGTGGAAGGCTGTCTTGATAGTTAATTGATGTGGGAGGACCTAGCCCATTGTAGTGGCACCATTCCCTAGGCAGGGAGTCCTGAACTGTTTAAGAGAGGAGAATGCACCTGGCGGTGGTGGCGCATGCCTTTAATCCCAGCACCCGGGAGGCAGAGCCAGGCGGATCTCTGTGAGTTCGAGGCCAGCCTGGTCTACACAGCGAGAACCAGGACAGGCACCAAAACTACACAGAGAAACCCTGTCTCGAAAAACAAAACAAAACCAAAAAAAAAAAAGGAGAATGCGACCTGAGTCCAAGTGTTCACTGCTCTCTGCTCTTGACTGTGGTATGATGTGATTAGATGCTTCAAAGTCCTGCCTTGACTCCCTGCACCAGTGAACTGCACCCCAGAACTGTAAACCAAAGAAACCCCTTCTTTCAGAAGTTGCCTCCTGTCAGGGTGTTCTTCCACAGCAACAGAAACTAGAACCCGGGGTTTCCCAAGTTGTTGATTGATCCAGAAACTGAGTGATTATCAAGGGGTTCAGCTGTCAATCAAGGTCTGAAACGGCTCTTGCTCTTCCGGCCTCATCTCTGTGCCCTTGTGACAGGTTCCAGGCCCTGGGGTCAGGGAGACAGGAAGCTCTCTCTGACCAGGAGAGGTGTGGTACCATCCTCAGCCAAGTGCTGGGGGCGGAGTCACCAGTCTATCATCTTGGAGCCACCCAGGTGGGTGTATGTGTGAGTACAAGGGAGTGGGTAGACGTGCTTGAAAAGGAAAGACCCCTGCTGGATTAAACACAAACAAGCTATGCACTGGGTGGTTCTTTTCAGTGATGGGTAGGTAGAGTGGGGCTGGCTGGAAGGCTACCCTGGATAGATTTCGTGACCAGATGTGGAGAGTCTGAGGCCAGGGTAGAAGAGGAAGTATGCGCCTGTTCCCCCATCCTGCCACCCCATCTCCATGAAGCATGCCTCTGCTCACAGGTCCTACTACAGGAGCAGGGCTGGCAGCAGTTAGAGCAGCTGTGGGCTCAGCGGCGCTCGCAGGCCCTGCTCACTCTGCACCGTGGCCTCCGAGCCTGCATCACCCGCCAGCGCCTCCGCCTCCTGCCCCGGATGCAGGCTCGTGTGCGTGGACTCCAGGCCAGGTGAGCAGACACTGGAGCCAAGGACCAAAGTGGGAGCTTGAGGTGGTGGGGCAGCCCCTCAAGTGCTGCTGAAAGGCGAGCTTTCCGCAGGTCAGGAACTGAAGAGGAGGCGGAGAGTCGGCTACTGATCACAGAAGTTACTTTTTTCTCTGAAGGAACAAAACAGTTCCCTGGGGCTGGTGAAAAGGGGGAAAACACACACACACACACACACACACACATACAGGCACACACACACACACACCTTGGACATGTCAGGGTCTCTCTTCTGTATTTTTTTCCCTTACCTCTTTCCTGATGTTTTCCTTCTGTATTTTTGTAAATGGACAGTTTTCTCCAGCCCACCAGTTCCCAAATAATCACTCAGAGGCTTAATATAAACTATAAATGCTCTGCTGGTAGCTCAGGCTTATTACTAACTAGCTCTTACACTTAAATTAACCCATAATTCTTATCTATGTTTAGACATATGGCTTGGCACCTTTTCTCAGTATGACATTCTCATCTTGTTTCCTCTGTGTCTGGCTGGCAACTCCCTGATTCCTCCCTCCTCTTTCCAACATTCTTAGTTTGGTGCCCCACCTATCCTTCCTGCCTGGCTACTGGCCAGTCTGTTTTATTAAACCAATTCGAGTGACAAATCTTTACAGTGTACAAGAGGATTATTTCACAGTGTATCTTCCTTGATCTTTTTTCCTTTTACATCTTTCCTATTTTTCCCTTACAGCTTATATAACCCCAGCAAAATTTTTCAAGCAGCATAAAAATTACAATGTGGGTATATTCCATTTTTCAAGTGAATGATTACAATGAATACAAGTGAAACACATCATGTTCCCCACTACCCTTACATGATTAAACATTTTACATTTTAGGAAAGAAAAACAAATTATTCCCAAGGACCCACATACATTCATGTCTAAGCAACCTATTATAGATTAACAAAGCATAAGCAAGCAAGGTATTTTTCTCAGGCAGTTCTTTCACTGACAGGCTGCATTTTGTGGTTACAAAGAAAGGCTCAATCATTTCTTTCTTTCTTTCTTTTTTTTTTTTTTTTCGAGTCAGGGTTTCTCTGTGTAGCTTTGCACCTTTCCTGGAACTCACTCTGTAGCCCAGGCTGGCCTCGAACTCACAGAGATCTGCCTGGCTCTGCCTCCCAAGTGCTGGGATTAAAGGCGTGTGCCACCACCACCTGGCTATTATTATTTTTCAAGACGGGGTTTCTCTATGTAACCCTAGTTGTCCTGGAACTCCCTTTGTAGACCAGGCTGGCCTCAAACTCACAGAGATGCGCCTGCCTCTGCCTCCCGAGTGCTGGGATTACAGGCGTGCGCCACCACCGCCTGGCCCAATTTTTTAGTTTAATCATCTCGGGAAGCTAAGGGCAAAAATGGGCACAAGGAATTCGTCCTCGCTTTTGATCACCAACCCATCCTAGCAAGAAAGGCACGTCATCTAGTCACAACTAGGCTGCCATTATTCTTGTTCCCTGACCTCAACACGTCCCTTGCTCAACTATCAAAAGTGTGCCTTCCTAAACTTTAAATTGATCCCCAAGATTTTCTACCTCAAAGCTATTAACAAAAACATCTTAACCTATCTGTAGATGTAACCAACCGTCTTATTAAATAAGAAACACAGAACCAATGCAAAGAAGAAAGCCAAGAGATCAGAGCTAAGAGCCTTACTCTTCCTGCTGAAGCTAGCCTCTTTGGCCAAGAGAGCTCTCTGAAAGAGACCTACTTCCTGTGTGTTTGTCTTTATATAGTCTTTCTGTTCTGCCTTCTCATTGGTTGTAAACCCAAACACATGACTGCCTCGTCACAGCCTGTCTATGGAGACTTCCAGGTCTTCTATGGTTGGTATTGAGATTAAAGGCATGTGTCTCCAATGCTGGCTGTATTCCTGAACACACAGAGATCTACCTAGCTCTGCCTACCAAGTGCTGGGATTAAAGGTGTGCGCCACCACTGCCACGCTCTTGCTATGGCTCTAATAGCTCTGACCCCTGGGCAACTTTATTTATTAACATACAATTAAAATCACATTTCAGTACAAATAAAATACCACCATATTTCCCCTTTTCTATTTTAATAAAAAGAAAAAAGAAAAAGGTTATAACTAACAAAAGAAAAACTATATACAAAAGTACAATAACTATATACAATATATACAAGTAATAAATACCTAAACAATGTCTAGTCCATTTGTATTTGACAAATTCAGAGAAAATAATTCCATTATCTATCCTATTTTGGTAAGTCTAAAATGTATCTAACTCACTTTCTATCCTAATTAATCTTCAACTATAACTAACTAATCCTATCTTTACTAGCAATCTACATGTCTAAATTCTTTCTAAGGGTGGTGGTTGAATCATTATTCTGCTCCAGCAGTAATGCTTAGAAAATGTCACTATTGTTGTAAGTATCAGTGACACCGCCCAGTGAGGGGCTAGAAGCCCCCTGAGAGTTTTTATACAAGTCCGATCATGAGGGACGTGGTGACCGAGAGGGCAGTAGGCAGAGCTATGCTCAATAACAGCAGGAGGTCCTCAGGACACGTAGTCCTCGGGGCTCTGCCTCTCCAAGGCCCGCCCAGCTGACCACTGAGCCGTATTCCATGAGTTCCAAAGCTGCTGGCTGTTCCTCTCACATGGCTCCCGACACTCAAAGTGTGGGCAGAGTTAGGGTCATGTGGTGTCTCGGGGGCAAGTTGACCTGTCCCAACGTCATGGGCTCTGACAGCAACCGGAGAGCCTGCTTGAATACCTCCCCAGAGTAAAGGTCATTGCTGCTGGGCCCCTGGAATCAGATGGCTTGGCTCCTGCCTTTCCTAGTCTGTTCTCCATTGTGCTGTGTTTCCTTGTGACAGCATTGCTCTGTAGCTCAGGCTGACTTCAAACTCATGAGCCTCCTGCCTCACTCAGCCTTCTGGATGTGGGATTATATTCACCTACCACCAGAGCTGGCATTCTGCTTTATTCATCCAGAGGCTACCCTGCCCACCCTGGCCAGATGCTGGAGACACAGACGAAGGCAGCAGAGATGAGGCCTCTTGGGCTAGCCGCAGGGAGGGGTCAGATTTGGACAGTAAAGCAGCCACTGACTGACCCAAGGCTGAGAATAAAATAAAGACAGTGCCGTGGCAGAGGGCCACCGCCACAGGCAGCCATTGCTACCGTCTATGCCTCAAGCTCATTCACCACATAAACCGAGGCACGGTGCCCGTGAAGCGGTAACTCCCTACTCCCCACACCACCACCCACGTCTAATAACTTCCAGTGTGTTTTCTGTCTCTAGATTTGCCTATTCTGAGTATTTCCTGTAAGCCGTGTTATATTCCAGTTCCTTTTATGCCTGGCCTAATTTACTTAGCTTTCAATGCTTTCAGAGTCTATGTTGGAGCATGGGTCAGAACTTCATTTCTTTTTTTGTGGCTGAATAATGTTCCACTGTGCAGATTTACAACTGGTTGCTGATGGATGTGTGGGTTACTCTCATTCCTTATGAACATGGTGTAGAAGAGTCTATTCTGCTTTCTGTTTTTTTTTTTTTTTTTTTTTGTTTTTTTTTTTTTTGTTTTTCGAGACAGGGTTTCTCTGTGTAGTTTTGGTGCCTGTTCTGGAACTGTCTCTGTAGACCAGGCTGGCCTCGAACTCACAGAGATCCACCTGCCTCTGCCTCTCGAATGCTGGGATTGAAGGCATGTGCCACCACCACCCAGCTTCATGTTGCTTTTGACTTGATTTCTCTAGTGACTATTGGTGCTGAGCATAGTTTCGTGTGCTTTCCACCCATTTGTAGAAATGTCTATTCTAGCCCACTGCCTGTTGTTTCTGGGTCATTGGCATTTTGAAAAAATGTATTTTATTCTATGTGTTATGGTGTTTCCCTGCGTGTTTGTTTACCACGTGCATGCAGTGTCCTCAGAGGTCAGAAGAGGGCATAAGATCCCCTGGAACTGGAGTTACAGACGGTTGTGAGCTGCCATCTGTAACCACGTGGGTGCCGGGGACCCAGGTCACCATCTGTAACCACGTGGGTGCTGGGTCCTCTGCAAGAGCAGCAAGTATTCTCTAGGCTCTTGTTTGGGTGGTTGTGAGACAGGGTCTTACTGTGTAGCTCAGGCTGGCCATGGACTTACGGCTATCCTCCTGTCTCAGCTTCCTGAGCACTGGGATTATGGACATCCACCACCACACCCAGCTTTCTCACTGGTTATTATTATATGTGTATGAGTGTTCCCTGCATGTATGCGCATGCACTGTGTGTGTGCCTGATGCCCACAGAGCTCAAAAGAGGGCACTGGTTCCCCTGGTTCCAGAGTTATGTGTATGAGTGTTCCCTGCATGCTGAGATGAAGCCATATATACACAGCCAAGAAGAATGGACAGCTGAATTAAAAAAACCATCAACAATTTCCAGAATTTAAAATCCTGAATCATGACATGACACTAGTGGAATTCAGGTGTTTCTGGTACATGGACTACTCTCACTCAATGTGAGGTTGAACTGTTGACCTTGTGTACATCCTACTTCACAAATGAGTCTGTCAGATATGCTAAGCCTATAGGCTGAAGATGATGCCCCAGCACTTCGGAGAAACCTCAGGTGACTGTCCAGACAGCTGTCTGTTTCTGTCAACTCACAAATTTTTTGGAAGTTGCTTATGTGCACTTCCTGTTTTTATTTTTGTTAGCTAATATTATTTCCTTCTTGGGTCTCTGAGGGAGTTGAAGATTAGTTAGTTATAGTTGAAGATTAATTAGGATACATTTTGGACTTACCAAAATAGGATAGATAATGAAATTATTTTCTCTGAATTTGTCAAATACAAATGGACTAGACATTGTTTAGGTATTTATTACTTGTATATATTGTATATAGTTATTGTACTTTTGTATATAGTTTTTCTTATATTAGTTATAAGCTTTTTCTTTTTTTTCCTTTTTATTAAAATAGAAAAGGGGAAATATGGTGATATTTTATTTGTAT